GTCGGGCGAGGCGAGCAGCGCGTCCGATGGGGACATCAGACACTGGTCGCCGGGCGACGGCTGCGGGTCGGCGGGCGAGCCGGGGGACGAGGTGGTCCCCGCGGCGCCCAGCGCGACGCTCGTGCCGCCGCACACGGCCGACTGCTCGGCCACGCCCAGCAGGCCGTCCCCAGTCAGCTCAGAGGGCAGGCCGTCCAGGTGGGGGAACAGCCGCGACACAGACTCAACCTCGGCGGCGAAGTCAATGCCAGCAGCGTCCTCCCAGCCGAATGGACCCGCCGCTCCATATCCTGAGCTGTTGGCCTGAGGGGAGAGAAGGGAAGTTGTCAGTTGCTGTATGTGTGGAGTGGATGTCAATGGCATAGGTAGTACACAAAACAATGTGTAAAGAAATACCCACATAAAACTGACATAATTAAAACCTTTGATTGACCTTTGAAAACCTTTGAGGCATTTGATGGGCAATAAGCAATATACAAGACTTATCTGACAATGGAAAGAGAAAAGGAAGGACAAAACATACTTGTGAGGTGGCCTCATCAAGCCACAATGAATCGAGGGCCAGCGGCCCTGCAGCCATCTCTGTGATCTTGGCCATATTGGTCTTCTTGTTGTGTCAGTTGGATGTAAGCCAAAAGGCTGGTTTGGTAGACTTGGGAAGTCCTGTAAAAATATTATTATTGTTAGTACCATTTGGTAAAGGAGCACATTGTACACCAAGTAGGCATGCGGTAACGGACATTGACATGCACATTTTGATTTGAATCAAATAGCAATTACAGATAACAATGCAAAAATATCCAAGCGGATTTGATCTGCTCATAAATTGACAAGCTTATCAGAAAAAAATGGCTTACATATTAAAGCAAATAAACCACATGGCATGGCAGGTCATGGGAATCGCTGATTGACACAACAAAGCACCAAAAATTGCAGTATTTTCGTAAAAATAAGAATCATACTTACATCATCGCTGGTGTACTGGGCGCACGAGGCGCGGCTGGTTTCTTGAAACCACTATTGACCCATGGCTATGCAGGAAAATCACCGAAATAACTTGTACGTGTTTCCTTGGCTGTCATCGGGTCAACAATACGGAAATCGGCGGGAGCAGAACCCGGGAGCTGCGGGAACGTTATTTGATGTTCCTGCGCAATCGACGACTTAAAAATAAGTCAAGAAAAGTTTGGTTTTCTAATTGCATTCTTAAATGTGATAAACTTTGATTCTTTTACATTATTTATGCCGGAATCAATATGAACATGAGCAATCTCCCCAAATAATCGCAATTTTTTAGAACTACTTTTTGATGTAGAGGCTCTCCATGTCAATCTCGGTTGCGTCATCTCGATGCATTCAGCGGCAATTATATTTTGAGAAATTACATCAAATGTCTTTTAGACGGAAATATTCGCATACATACCTCATTTTAATACAATTTTCTAAATTTTTTGGCTATTTTGGTAAAATAAATAGTGAGAGTAATGAGCTATATCCGTCATTGAACGATTTAATGAACGAAGTATTTTAATATGACGTCATTTTACCAATAAAGCTCTTTCGCTACAAAAATGACCTAGGAAAGACATTTATGCTTTCAGTTCCGGCTACTAAATAAAAAATATTTTAGGATGGTATATAGCTATTGTTATTTATCAACGAGCTCCGTGCCAAGAAGTGTATTTGTTTGTTTAAATCGCATAATGTCGATGAATATATCCTGAAAACGTGGTATAGTAAGTATGAATGTTTTCCATTATTTTCAAATGTTTTTGTCGAGTGTTAAATGCTTCAGGTCAAGTTTTTTTTTTATTTTGCACTCTTATATGATTTCCAAAAGTCAACTCAATTTTCTTCTTAAAGCTTGCTTAATTAATTTCATTTATTCTCAAGTTATTTAATGAAACAGACATGTACACAACTTTTATGCCTACAAGGCCTTGAATTTGAGTAGGCACGATACTGTCAAGCCCAGGCTTTGAATGAAATTAGTGCCGTGCATCTCACTCTGTACTTATAGATGGCCGTGATCTCACTATCTCAGTGATCTCAGTGTTTCACGCATTTTTACCAAGGTGTGCTCATCAGTTGTCATGCCACTGTTGTCTTCCTTTATAAGATACCAGTTTCAATCCTTTTCCAGATTGTATGCATGATTGCTAGTGTAGTTTTAACTTATTCATTTTTGCAGACAGTTTCATCAGCAATGAAGAAAAGCCAACTTAGCAGTTTATTTGATGAGGATGCCAGCTCTTCTGACAAGTCTCTGCTGACATACCAGCGACCGCACCCCCCTGAAACAGGCCAAACTGACAATTCTCTCCCCTCTGCAAATGTCTCACCAGTACTGCCATCCACAAAACACCCCAATGGCACTGAGATTTCCAATATCCCTGAAAAATCTCAAGATGATAATCATTTGACATCTGGGGCAGATGGAAGAAAGTCTTCATCTTCAGATCATTCTCCAACTGCTGGAGAAAACAGCACTCCTGAGCTGCTGCACTCATCTGTTGTCTCCGCGTTCACCTTCTCCGGCTCACAGAGTGTGTCACTCGGCTCCTTGGGGTGTGCTGTGTACTGGGAGCGATCCCGCCGCAGGTCTGTTCTGGTGCTGTACCGCAGCCGGCAGCAGCAGATCTGTCTGCTGACGCTCACGGCTTCCTCCCTGCCAGCCATCCAACCGCACAACTACATAAGCTTCTGCTGTGATGCCGGCCGCCAGTACAGCATCCATGTGGCATCACAGGAAGCTCTGAAGGAGTTTGTGATGAAAGTTGTGCTGGCTGCAGCACAGGCTGTGGATGGGAGCAGCCCAGTGGCACTCCTGCTTGCCTCCGAGGACCAGACGGAAACCGCCGGCGGACGCTGCGTACGGGACGGCGACCAGTTGGACCTCAACGTGTCGGAATGGGGCGTGCAAGACCCGCGCTCACGGCCTCTGCGGCAACTTCACAGCCCGGTGGACGACTCCGGCCCGCTGCTCGGCTCATGGAGGTCCTCCCTGCGCGGTGCCCGGCCCGGCCAGCGCTGGGTGGTGGCTGATGCCGCCTCACTGGGGGTCGTGCGAGAGGTGTCTGTGACGGGAGTCCGTCCGGCGCCGCGTCGGCCTCCTCTGCGGCTGCCGACCGACGACGGAGGCGACTGGAGACCGGAGGACGAGCCGGAGGACGACCTGGAGGAGGAGGGGTGTTTGACGCCAGAGTCTCCGCCCTCACCGCCGTCCTCACCTTTACTACCAGTCGCTGAGCGTGATCGGACTGCGTCAGACGTCAGGGAACCCAACCATGAGGCCTCCTCACTGCAGGGTGGTGGTCGAGATGAGGGTCAGGTTGCTTCAAAGGCGAAGGGACGCCCGGACGTTCTGGCGCGGATGGCTCGACTGGGTCAGCAGATGTTCCCTGTGATGGGGAAGGGGAGGTCTCCCTCTCCTCCACCCTCGCCGCCGCCTTCTCCTGCTCGTCGTTCGCCGACTCCAGCTGTCCGCAGTTCATCCCCGCGACCCCAGTCGCCTTCGGATGCCCAGAAGGCTTCTGCAGCAGGGACGTTAGAAACAGCGGCGTCGGAGCCAGAGGGAGGTCCAGCGTCTACGGGAAAAGGAAGGGCGCCCGGCGGTCCGAAGCCGGCCGTCGCGGGTCGCCGTCCTCCGGTCCGACCTCCTCCCTTCGCCCGTCCACCTGTGGCCGCTCGAGCGGACGGCACTGAGCTCGGCGTGCTGCTGGGAAGGCTGGAGGCCAAGCTGGAGACGGTGCTGACCCGTCTAGAACCTCCCGTCGGTGTGGAAACCGACGCGGAAGCGCTAGCGGCAGGCGTACGCAGACTGGCGACTGAGAATGCCGCGCTACGCGAGGTGTCTCGGGGGGCTGATAGAGCGACAGAGCTGCGTCTGGAGGCCGAGCGAGCGCGTGCGGCAGTGACGTCCGAGCTGGCTGACTCGCTGGCGGGGCTGACCGACACCAAGAGGAAGCTGGCTGAGACGGAGCGACGGCTGGCGGCAGCAGAAGAGAAGGCTGTAGCGGCAGAAAAACGCGAAGAAGAGCTTAGGATGAAGCTGACAGCTGCACAGTCAGCTTGCACTACTGCGGGGAAGGAGACCTCAGATGTAACACGGGACACCCGACGTATGCTCAAGGGAGTGTACAAGACACTTGTGGCGCGTCTGCCGCCGGATGAGACGTTCACTGGCGCAGCGGTGGCAGAAGTCGCCGCAGAGGTAGTCAGAGAGGCGTTACAGAGGACGGATACGGGACGGGTAGAGGGGCGGAGGACGCTGGTGACGGAGGAGAGAGAGGAGAGGAGCAGTGCGCCGCCGTTTGTGGCAGAGGACGAGTGTGTGGAGGCTGTAGATTAGGTAGTAGACTGAGATTAGAATGGGAGGAAGTGACTCGCTCAAAACGTTGCCTTTTGCCTCAGCTGATGTACTGTGTATGCATATTGCTTGGTTTTATCGTCCTTTCCATTTATACAAGCCAGTCATTTATTCATCAAGCAGTCATGAAATACCTGCCTTTGTTGAAATCAAGGGTAGGTACTCACTCGGGGCCTGCAGTCACAGGGTTTCTAAAGCCATGTTCACTTTGTGATCGGAAATCTGTGATAAATTACTCCATAGAATTCCACTGCGCGGGCCATGGCAGAGTCGGGTAGCTTGCTTTGTTGTGTGCTATATCACGATAATTGCAGTTTTTATCTGTGTGTTGAAAGCTTCGTTTTATGGAAGATCCATGAAATCAATCAGAATATTCCAGTATTTTACCGATGTGTTATGTTTATTCCATTTTACGAATGTTGCATCGTTTAATCAAATATACAAACATATTGCTTCATAGGATTGTTCGAAAGCATTGAATTCATTTTTCCGTACGATCGGCGGGTATAATATTGGTCCAGCAGCATGAAACAATACAAAAATCGTTCGATTTCCACACGTACATTTTCAAAACCATTACAAAACCGGTAATACTGGAAGAGATTTTAAGAGTGTGTTCCCTAAAAACGTTGGGTTGAACAGCTTCAACGCGACGTGCGGTTATGATATTGTCTAGTGACTCAGAGCAGAACAAGCACAGATCGCTAAGTTTTTGGAGCAGACTCTCTCACTTCAGACCTCCGTATAGCGCTGGACGTTTAGCGAAACAAAAATGAAATGAGATGTTAACGACATGCAAACAGCATCGGCAAAGCTTGAAGGAACACAACATTACATATTAGAAAACCTGTAGGGGACTTGAAAAAAACGCGGGGGCAAACAGCTAAAGTATGGAACAATGTTTTAAAACGGCACTTGGGTAATATCAGGAGCAAAACAGCGGCCAAGTACAACATGTGAAGATGGCTAGACGCTAGACGCAATATTGTCCCGAAAGTTTTGGTGAAAACTGAGGAGTGAAACATCTCACTGCTGTTCATTTCTCATCGATCATACATCACCGCTCATTCTTGCAACTGTTCACCTCCTATTTCCACTTTCACTCTCCGTCGCTTTCTCGCTATCCTTAGCTATCCCACAATCGAAACAAAACACTCGCTCCTCGGCCCTCTCATAGCCGATTCCACTGTACGGCTTTACATTCCATCAACCACATCCTCACTGTTTTCATCACTTTCCTTTCCTTCATCACTTTCCCTCTCATCACTCTTCCCTCCCCCCCCCCTCATCACTTCTCCGGCTGCGCCTCCTCCCCATTCTGCGTCAGCGCGGAGCCGAGGGTGATGCGCCTCACACCCAGAGTGCGCAGGTTCACCAGGGCGCACGTGGCCGTTCGGTGGAACTCGGGCAGGCAGAGCAGACGCACTCGCTGACCCTGTGATCCTGGCGGGCGACAATAAAGGTGGTTTAGATGGGCTCAAGTAGGGACAACAGGATATATTACGACGCTCATTGGTTTAATGGCTACTAGCGAGGACATATTAGGCACGCAGTTGAACGCATTTGCCGGTGTCTTTTGTTTTGTTTTTCTCCGGAGCTGAATGCATGGGCAGAAACGTAAAGCATACATATGATGTGTGAGTTTTAATCAAGGTAATTCAAGTAGTTTTGTGAAATTTTGTTTACGCCTATCGTTCCATAGATTTTTGCCGAAATTGATGCCCTTTCCGCCAGTGCTAATATCTTATTTACACATTTCTCGCAGCTTTTGGCATGTTTCGGTCACTCACCTCGGCACATTTTGGTGGCGAACTTGGTCTGATTGCCGGCGAACAGCAGGTCGGGGCACTGGTCGATGGTGAAGGGGTCCTTGTCGTAGTAGGGGTAGCAGGTGAGTGTGTCGGGCGCCGTGGGGCACAGGTGGCCCCAGGTCAGCAGACGCTCCAGACACGTCAGAGGGTCGTCGCACGCGCTGTACCTGGAGTAGGAGGAGACGGGGGGCGGGGGGGGGGGGCTCGGGTCAACAAACAGCTCAGTATCAATGCAAAAGCTATGCACACAAAAAAGACACTCTCGGGCAGGTTTAGCTCTAATTTTAAGAAGTGGCGTGCCCACGCGACACATATCTTTTTAGAATGCTCCCAAATAGTATTCGAATGTTGAAAAAGAAACGATAGCTGGTGCTAAGATTTAAAAACGTGAGACCTCAAATGATGGAAGAAAAACATTCGACCACCAAAAACCACCACGGCCGTCACGCACCAACCGTAACCTGTGTGTTCTCTCCTCACTCCACAGACACTATCCTGTGTGTTCTGTCACAGTCACAGGCTAAACCCACCTGTAGAGATCGTGCACGTTCTGGCCGGAGGAGCCCAGCAGTCTGCGGCCTCCCACCACCGCCTGGTACGGGTTGGTGACGCCGTGGAACGTACGGTACGCCGCCGCCTGGTGGGAAAAACGGAAACTAGTGCTAGAGTTCACCGGTATATAATGTAGCTGACATACGGTTAATTTATAGCTCAATATTACATTTTGCGACTCTGTCGATACATTTTTGTTCAGTGGATACCTGAGAAGAAGATGAGAAAAATATCTATCTAGCTGGACAGTTGTCTGCCTTCTTTATATTTGAATAAGCCTTCATTACGCTGTCCTATAAAAGCCTGCGTTCCCAGTTCCCACCCCACACCTTCCAATCCTAACCCCACCTAGTCAGCGCGATGTGGCCCGGCGCATCCAGACTTACAGACCCCGTATTCCCCCTCCAGCCTCTCACCTTGGGCAGCAGGCACGGGTGCATGGGTCGCTGCGGCAGCAGGTGATTGGTCGGGTCAAACTCGCCCGGCATGAGGTCCAGGTCGCAGCTGGCCGTCAGCTGTTGGAGCAGCTCGTCCAGCGAGCGGACGGCGGCCGCCGATTGGCCCGCCACGTCTGACGTCAGGTACGCCGCCCGCTGACGGGGACAGGTGGTCAGGTCAGATCAGGTCAGGTGGTGAGGTCAGGTCAGGTCAGGTCAGGTCAAGTTATGTCAGATAAAAGCGATAATAAGACGAGAGAGACGATTAAATGTCCACAAGCATGACTGATGGCATCATAATTTTTAAGCCAGTGAAAACTTATCCTTATTTTATTTCATCAATGATAGGAAGAAATGGTTGACTCAATCACTATCAAGGCAACCTCCAGGAAGTTGTTGTCAAGGACTCCCCTTAGAAACAGTCACATTGTGAGCAATTAGGAGAAAGTCACTTTAAAAAACTGATAGGAGAGGATGTTCCCAGTCCTTTTGGGAACCGACCTTTCCGAAAATTTCCAAAAGTGTCGATACAACTGACCTTTAGGAACTGGCTGTCCCGGCTGCTGGCGCTCAGTGAGTTCCCGGCCACTATGACCCGGGTCACGGCGGCCATTTCTGTCTGCTCCTCCTCTGACCCGAGCTGACCCGTGACCAGGTCAACGAGCAGCTGAGCTGGGAACAGGTTACCGGAGGCCTCCAGGCCGAGTCCGGATACCAGCAGCACGTAACTGAGGGGAGCGGGCCGGGGGTTAGCGGCCCTAACAGCGGTGCAGCGCTGTCGATTTGGTTCTCTATCCTATTACTCAGTTAGAAGAGCACTGTTCTCGGGGCAGTGAGTCGTGAGAGCCCTTTCTCGATATTGGACAGTTTGGGTCGGGGAGTGCGCACATCAAGCCCCGCTTGGCGTAACTCCCGACTCTGTCTATACATACATTCAAACATTTGAGCTCAAGCTGCGTATAAAGATAAGATGCTAATTGCTAACCAAAGGTGGGTGGTTAAAATTAACCAGATTAGCATCTCACTTGGGCTTTACACATGTCGTAAATGTGTTGGACATTGTCAGAAATACCATGCTGCGTACCTGTCATTGTCGGGAATGGGTCGGTCAACTGTCTGCGGCGGAAGATCCGGAAAACAGACGTCACGGACTTTGAACTTCCCGGAGACTTCTTCCCTGCCGACCACGGCACACACTACACCTGTGGGGACATAGCCTGAGTCAGAGGGACGTCAATTTGTCAAAGGGACGTTACAATCATGCCAAAATGGCATCGTTGTTATTGGAACTATGACAGCATACATTTCAACTCTGAAAACTTTAGAACATGTCATTCAAGTCAGGTCAGAAGTTTGTGGCATCAAGTTGGCTATCCAGAAAAATGTGCCCAAAGCACCGTGACGATCGAGCCGCGGACCGGTGTCAGCATTGCACGGCTGCAGCACAAGCAGAACAGACCGCTACCGTCTGCTGTGCTCGCATTCTCGCGTGTGGTGAAATAATCCTACGACTGTCGTACCATTGACATACTGCTGCGGGTCGATGTTTCCCTCCAGTCGGATCCTGGCGCCCTCGTCCTCCAGTATCAGGTGGTCAGAGTCGCTGATGAACCGCTCCCGCGGCGGCTGAGGCATCAGGTTGTGCTGCCGGTGGGTGTGTAAAGTCGAAATAAGTCGGCAATGTTTTCGTTAATCACCAATCTTCCAATAATCTACAGTCAGTCTTAAAAGTACCGCGGAACAGTGCGGTGGATCCATTAAGCCTGACCGAGAAAGGGTCTGCTATAATTTGAAAGTCACCGAGCCAATTGACCTGGGGAATGGACGAGGATGTCAATTGCTTCGGTGACTCAGATTTAGCAGTCCTTCCACGGTCGGGCTTGATGGATCCCCGCACTGTTGCGCGGTACTTTTAAGACTGACTGTACCTTATCTTACCTTACGGATAACAGGAATTTTGATGGCCACTTTGGCCTGTAGGGTCCTGGGCCTCGTTTCATAAAGAGAGTCCGTAACTTACACCCGTTTTTGGTCTTGTATTGCAAGTGCATGTGAAGCAAGTTATTTCCCCCTCTCCCTTCTGTTCCTGCTTACAAGATAAATAAATTCAATGATTCAAATGATCGTCATCGCTTCACATGCACTTGCAATTCAAGACCAAAAACCGACGTAAGTTACAGACTCGCTTTATGAAACGAGGCCATGTTCGCATCGAGCTCCTTAACTAAGGACTCTCGGGATGCTAATCTAGAATGGTGTATCTGATGTAGAATCAAATACCACGTGATTTACGATACAATGAACAGTTTTCACATCCTAGATAACTTCACATTCCATCAGCAGCGTAGTTAATCATCAAATCACACCTATGACCTATTTGACAGAATTGCTCATGTCCATAAAATACCCTCTCACAGCCACATACCTCCTCGCTAATCTCCTTCAGAATGGAGGGCTTCAGCTGCTGCTGCTTGAACAGGGTGCCGATGACGGCACACTCTGCACGCTCCTCGTCCAGCTCGGAGACGGCCACCACCGCCACCCCGCCTGGAGGCAGTTTGAAGTTATCAGCTTGAGACCAAATCAGAAATGAGCATAGATGATAGACAAACCACCCAGACCACCATACACCAGCAATGCTTGTGGTTCTGCGGCATCACAGCTGAACCTATTGTTCTCAGTTCTCACCCCATTTTTCAGCTGCGGCTGCACGCAGGCGCTCCTCAACTGCCTTCAGGCGTGATGAGTAGACATGGTAGAACTGGCGTGAAAAGTCACGGCCAGACAGCTGATAGCGTGCAGTTTCATAAGAAAACAGAGCAGCAGTCCGCTCCACTGACAGCTCTTCTTTAAGCTGCATACTGCCAGTGAGCGAGGGCTGAAATTTGAATTGGGCTGAAAACGTCAGGAACATTAACTGTAAGACCTATGCTACATATAAGGCCCTGAGTTAACTATGGGTATACCTACATTGACTGGCATAGTAATAAAATTGCAGTAACACGAAAACGCAATGTCAATGTTGAAGCTTGAAAATGAGCTTAGAAATTCAATCGATATCCATCATTCACCATCAAAAAGGAGCACCACCAAGGCCATCTATAGAAGGTACAGTCACTCCCCCGCCGACCAATCAGAGACAGATCCTGAGTGACGTCACCCCTGATGCTCGAAAGGGGTATTCCATTCCTTTACAACGTAAAAATGACTAACTTCATTTGAAGATTGTTGGTGACACTCTACACATATCGCTCAACCATTGATGCCATTGGAAAGTCCAACTAATTTTCTAGCGATGAAAAAGAGCAGCAATATGCTAAGAAATGGCCGGTTTTGAAGATATAGACGATTTAAAAACCCTCTGCAGTTGCAGGAAAGCAACGTAAAAACGCATCGAGCTTATATTTTTACTATGAATAAATCATTTTTCAGTAAGTTTTTAGATATGGTATCGATTTATTTAACAACTTTATTACAATATTTTTATTACTTGGAACTTTATTTCAAAATAATATTTTCAAAAATGGCAACTGTTGGCAAGAAGCTTTGAAGCGATTGTGGCGCGCCGCGCCATTATTGTCCTGAGGCCCCCATATGATGTCATCAAAAGTGGAGTGACATGGGCCTGAGCACCACAGTTCTTGCCTCAGCAGTTCAACTTGTGCACATCCGTCAATACAGCAGCAGATCGACATTCGCAAAACTGCTACTGGCAGACAGACATTCACTTTAGGTCCAATGAAATCGACTCAGGGACAAAAAACAGCTTTTAGTGCCACGTTGACTACAAATAGAACATAAAATGTTTGACGCAGCTGCGGCAATACTGTCAATAAATATTTCTTTCGCGCCAGTAATAGTGTAAAACCATATGAAGGAATATAATACCGGTGGGCAAAATAACTTCACAGCAAACGAAGAGTTACCTGTTACTCCACAAGTCACCAGTCACCTCGTGGGGTTCCTCTAGTTCCCAGCCTTACAGAACCGGTTTAGGAGGGAGAAGAGGGACCCGAAAAGACAAAAACGCTGGTTCATCAATTGTAAAATGTAATATTAATTGTAAATAGGAAAACCTTTATATTGTAAATATGAAAACTTTTTCCCTATATATGGCAGCTATTCAATTCAATATGGTAGCAAATATGTGATGCAAAATAGGCAAAATAGACGTGACAGAGCCGTAAAGGGAATTTAAATTGAGAATAATTGCAATTGAGGCCTAGTATGTGTGTGTTTTGACATACGATTGCATTTTCAGCTGAAAATATAGAGCGAAGATGAGTGAAGACACCGTGAATTCAAAGTATGTACCAATTTGTTGAATGCTGACTGGGGCACCAGTTTGGTTAGCACTTAGCAGGGGCACCAGTTTGGTTGGTGGTCGGGTGCTGATAATAATATTTATAATAACAATCATCTTTAAATTTTATCAGTTTCAAATTAAAAGCATTGCAGCTAATGTGCACTTAATAATTTGTTTAGCATGTTACCAATTTCATTATGTTGAGTTTACTGGAGGAATGTGGGTACCTGATAGGAGCTCAGTAGGCGGAACTATGGTCATGAGTAGGTACCCAAATATAGGAACGTTTCCATTTTTGGGAACAGAGTTCCCAAATATGGGAACGGGCGTTCCCATTTATGGGAACGGAAGGTAATTTTTCGGCCGTTCGCCCACTAAAACTCATTAGTGCATCACGTCTCAAAAAAGTGCACCCTAATTTAAGTATCTACTAAGTCTCTATAAAATTATCTTTAATCTGACCGTTGCATAAGGAAATTGACCGTCGAATGATATTTTTAATGATTTTTTGAAATGACGGAATGGTGAAAACGGGTTATACTACATTTAACTTGCAATTTTAAGGAAAATGAAGCGTTTTTTACATTTTGAGGTCAAGTATAATAATTTTCGCCTGGTTATGAAGTTTCATACTAGCGACACCAGATGCTGATATATGCAAGCGAACACGCGGACAGTCCGGGGGTAATATTGGTGACATTTGGTGTCGGGGCGCACGACCGCATGGAACGTCAGTGATTTTACCGAACTACTGTTGTAAACTCAGTTTCAGTGGTTTAAAATTATTCAGCTGTATTAAATCATCCCATTTGCCACTTACACTCATCAAGAAAGGAAAAAACTAGATTTTCATTGGGACTAGGTGTTTTGAGGGTGTAACATATTCAGCATTCCCATTTTTGGATACCTACTTCCTTGTGCTCGTCAACTATCGGTGATAAACAGACAGGTGCTTGACATGTCTCCACCCTCGGCGCGGACGGTGGATATAGGTATGGAAGATCTTGTTGAACATCGCTGAGCGTTGTGAATTACGTAACCCTGCAGAGGGGGGGGGGGCGTGCCCGCTGCGAGATCGACGGGAATAAAAGCGCAGAAGACCGGGCTAAACATGCGACGGTCTTGCCGGAAAGGTCATCTGATAATTGTTGCGTTAACAATAATTTGCGGCGTTGGACGTGATGCTTGTTAATGAAAAGAGCCCCTGAAAGGCGTCGGTGAAATCGTTCCCAATTTTGGGTACGCCGTTCCCATAATAAGGAACGCTTGCAGCGCCAGTGTACGAGAGCGTTCCCAAATTTGGGCTCGCGGCCCGGATGATGGACTGCTTTAGAAATAGGGGAACGATTTGAAACTACGATGGGCCTTACAATATCAAACTCTTTCCCAACAATATTGAGACAAATATCAGGTGGTTCACGATCGTTTTATATTTTTTGGACGTCATTTAACCCGCGCCCTGCTGGGGGGGGGGGGGTGTTTGAACACCCCCCCTTGTGGTTTTTCGCGAATATCTCAAAAACGGCGGCGCGGAGCGCCGCCGTTTTTGGTACACCTTATCATACATCAATTCTACACATGTTGTGAAAATTTCAGACCAAGGTCATTCAAGGTCAGGTCACCAGGTCACTTGAAGTGACCTCACCTCATAAAAAGTTTCAATGTCTGTCATAGCTACACCGAGTGACCGATCGCTTTGAAACTTTCAGCGATTGCTAAGAGCAATAGCATGTACAAAATGTATATCTCAGAATTTTGATATCGATGACCTAAGGTCAGGTCAATTTTGCGACCTCCCCATTATAAGTCAATGGGAGAAAATGGAAATGCGCCTCTTTTGGACGAAAGACATTATAAACACTCCCAAACACTGAATTACAAGTGGTTTAGACACACTGAACATGAAAATGGTATCCGTGACCCCTGTTTATGCCCTGAGGTCATCTTAGGTCACGAATGGTATCTAACAGTTTTTCGCAAATAACTTTTGATAGAGGCATGCTAGAGCGATGAAAACGCCTTAGATGTGTTCAGCTCGACGATACGGATCGACTGATATGCAACATGACCCTTTCCGGTCAGGTCATGACCTTGACCTGAGGTCAAATTTTCAAGTTGACCTTTCAAGGTCAAATTATAGTTCATTCGATGCGTCTTGACGAGAGGAACACGATGCCGGTAAAAGTAAGCTCGTACAAGGCTTGGGTCAAAAGTTATTGCAGAAAAACTGTTTCCGAAAAAATCGGCTATTTTTGCAGTTTTTGCCCCCTGCAGGCAAAACCGTTGACGTTAGGTCAAATCTGAGAGAATTACTCAGAAAGGGCGGTAATAGGGCTATCGAATGCGCTTTTCCGCGGCGCTGTAGCTCTATTGGTTCCCGAGTTATGCGTTGGCTTCTTGGAAATTGTCGATATTCGACCTGGAAATCGGCGAAATTTTGCCTTCAATGACCTCTGGTGACCTGACCTTTGACCTGACCAAAAAATTGACCGAAGTGATTTCCTTATTATTTTTGACGCTCTTTCGAACGCCGCCTTCCGCGTATCGCTACGTGGCCCAGGAGCCGAGTTAGAAGGGGGGGTGTTCAAACACCCCCCCCCCCCAGCAGGGCGTGGAAATCCAGGACCCCCAGCAGGGCGCGGGTTAACGGTTCTTTTTCTTGTTTTAAATAATGCCTACATGGCGTTCCCATATTTGGGTTTATCGTTCCCAAACATGGGAACGAAAATGCGTTCCCGAAAATGGGTACGCTTGACCATAGTTCCGCCTACTGAGCTAGAAAAGTCCTAAAGGTCATGAGCTCGATGAGAACGGTTCCCTACAGGCCAAGTAGCCTCTAAATTCTGATCAAATTAAGGTAAAGTAAGGTATTTTGATCCTGATCTCAATCTGGGAGATATGGGTAATGGTCAGGCAGGCGTAGCACGAGCTGCCATATGCGACACCAGGACAGGTTGTACAGACACAGACACCGACACCATATGGTCGGTGTACTAGACTGGAAAAAATGCACGTTATGCCGAATATGTCCGGTGTAGTAGCGGCATTGCGCCAAAAATTTCAGCGCACGTCTGGCGTAACTTCGCACGCACCGAATTCAGGGCGTGGCGGCGGCTGAATTTTGCGGCGCAGGGCGGCCGCATAATTTTTTGGCGAAAGACAGTCACCAAACTTAGTTGGCACGCTGGTCACTCTAGCAGCAAATCTGGAGCAATTTCGGGACTAGACGTCCCCGCCCCCGGTCATCGCATGCTTGAACTGACGAGCTTCCCTGAGTGTTCAGCGGAGGAGTAGTGACCACCTATGTGAAGCCTCAACCCTGGGAGTGGAGATAGGTATGGAAGACCTTGTTGAACGTCGCCGAGCGTCGTTAAGTAGGTAGTAGTGCAGTGGGTCCCTGCCCACTGCGGTATCGAGGGGAATGAGAGCGCGGACGACCTGGCGAAACAAGCGGCCGCTGTGCCCTCATACGCTCGCTCGCTGACCTGGGCGGTTCATTGTGCGGCCTCGCATCGACGGCGCGACAGCAGGTCCGAGTCACTATATTCAAGCTGCTCCTCGGGAGCACGCCGCCGCTCCCTATCCCCGGAGAGGGGACGCCGTTTCGGTGCACCGGCAGATGGGGGCGGGCCACTGAGGCCGCTAGGTCCAGTACGTGCACCGAATCGGCTGTCTCCACTCCGCGGCATGCCAAGAGTGCCTAGACAAGTGGTGCCTCGCGGCGCTCTGCGCCGTGTGTGGAGAAGAGGCTGATATGCCGGATCATGGAATTCTTACAGCTTAATATCACACCTTTCTCTGCAGCATTCAGCAATGTGATGTGATCGGCACCTTATTGAAGGGATGCTGTGAGCCTGGGTGTGGGTGTTGGTGTTTTTTTTTGTGTGTTTTTTTTTGTCAAGGAATTAATCATTATAGTAATGGACTTATTCAGTCTGGTTCTTATATGATGATCAATGGATTGTGGTTTTGACATGGTGTCATGAAATTCCATTCCTGTCTTGTAATTTTGAAACTGATGAACATTTATTGGATTTCAGTGGTCCCAGAATGCCCACGACATTCTATGGGATTAACCTGAGACTGGCCGAGGGTCTCCAAAGGCCTGATGGTAAGTTCTGCCCATTCACTGCCACCTATAATGGGAGTGTGAAACCCCTACTGAATTTCATCATGCAAGTCTGTCAAAGAATGTAATACCTATGCCCTTAGCTGAGTAAATGGGATGTTCCTGTAATTAAAGGCCGTGGTACCCCTTTCAGAGGTTGCCAACTAGTTTCCACGCTAGCCAGACATATTTACTTTATGGCTTGTAACTTAGAATTGTATTCAAGATTGTGCGGTTTGAAAGCTGCTCAGGCTCATGAGGACAGTGCTCAGGAGTAAAACTATTTCTATGTCCCACGATGCCAGCCGGGCACATTCACAAACGCATATTTCTGTGGACGGATATTTGCTGACGAACTGTATGCTGACAATTGTGTGCAAGCAAACATTTCCGAAAGCTAATAACTACGGACGAAGTTTGGCGAAATACGACTGTCGCTATGGAGAATCTGTGACTCGAGTTCTCTGACTCGATCGGCTTTGTTGTGCAGGTGTTCCTCTGTACTGCACCTCCATCCAGGAGGTGCAGGCGGTCATGAAGGCCAACAAGACGGCCCGCTTCAAGTCGTTCAGCAGCCAGGCGGAGGCGGAGGCGTTCAGTCGGCTGGCGGCGGACCCCGGCGAGGGAGCCGCCCCTCCGGCCGCACCCTCCCCGTCCGCCGCCGCCGCGGCCACCGGCGCCGGCGGGGAGAAACCTTCACCGTACAAAAATCCCTCCAGACCGGACTTTCAGGTCAGTATCGGACTCGGTGACTTTTATACTAAAAGAGACTGAATTAACTGAATTTTGCCGATAGTACTACTCAGCGTGGTGGCTAGGTACGGGGGCTAATGTGTATGCGAAGCATTCAGTTGGGTCGGCCCCTAGCATAACGGCACGGCTTTTGCTAGATACAGTTTATTGATCCTGTTTTGATGATGTAGACAAGGCATTTGCTTTTTATTTGTTTGTCATGTTATCTGCTGCGCTAGGTTGAACCCTGTAACATACGATCATCCGACTTAGCCGGGCCATATGACGGTTATCTCGTCTTTCAACGATAAAAAATGCTTTCTCAGCTGTCTTTTGATATCTGATGACATTTGATCATGAATGTTGAACTACTAGACTGTGATTGTTTATGACGACATCAGCATTCTCCTGAACTCCTCCCGGTCTCTCATGTCAGGAGTTCCGCAAGCTGGTCGAATCTGGCGACGAGCGCGGCGTGGTGGCGGCAGTGGCGCGCAACCCGCGCTACCTGATCAGCAGCGGCGACACGCCGGCCCTGCTGCGTGAAGGGCCGCGCCACAATTCCCTTCATCTGGCAGCGCTGCGCGGACGGGACGCCGTGTGTAGGACGCTGCTGGAGCTGGTGGGCGATCCGCGGCTCTTTCAGAGACTGTACCCCGATGATGCGCCCGAGGTGAGTGCTGGGGATGCGGTGTCAGAGAGGCTGTACTGAGGACGGGGATGAGGCTGACAACTCACCAGGGAGAGTAGCTATGGCAGGGTGTAGCTGAATTCGGAGACCATTTTGCGATAAAACCATGTGTCTGCGTGGGACAGTGTGAGTAATTAGAATATTGTGTATATGTCTAGTGTTGAACTCCGCGAACATGCCTTTTATTGCTGCCACCCTTCGCCGGCCTCTCCCTCCTTCTCCTTTCCCATGCGCAGCTGAAATATCTGATTCCGTCAGGCGAGTTGTTTTTCACCTGATATTCAACACCGGCTCACGTTCTCCTTCTCCTGACTGATAAGTGGCTCCCCCACGAGATCACTTCTTCCCACGGCTGGCAGACCTTCCCCCATCCCCTCTAACATCTCTCACTCTCCCGGTACCTATCTGACTCACTCCCCACCGAGTCACTGACTCCCCTACTGAGCTCCCCTACCGAGTCACTGACTCCCCACCGAGTCACTGACTCCTCTACTGAGTCACTGACTCCCCACCGAGTCACTGACTCCCCTACTGAGTCACTGACTCCCCTACTGAGTCACTGACTCCCCTACTGAGTCACTAACTCCTTCCCCTGACTCCTTCCCGCCTGGGTTCACCAGGTGGCGGCCGGCCGGTCCGAGTACATGCTGGACCTGTACCTGAACATGCCGACCAAGGGGACGTTCGAGACGCCACTGCACCTGGCCGCCAAACAGGGTCACCTGGAGACGGTCCGCGCGCTGGTGCAGCACCCCGCCTGCAAGCGCGACCTCACCAACAAGTTTGGAGAGACGCCCGAGCAGGCGAGTACGACGAGAAGCGACAAGTAGAGAGTCAACGTAGACAGCTAAACCGATCCCCGACCAGTAGATTCTGCTCTGGGGAAAACGCAGGCTACAAGGGGAAAAGCTGACTTTCCATGCTCGGCATTCTTCCTTTTAATTAGGTACGACTATAAGAAATGGTTCACAAATTATTGGTTGTTTTTTTGAAAAAAGTATTTATTGTGAAAAAATATTCACCCATGCCTTAGCAAGTAATTAAACGATGCCAGTATTCATCTCAGATCCGAAGCAAGAACGTTTCGCTTGGCATTTGCTTAAGCATGCATAGCACTTAACCTACATAGCTACATAGCTTGAAAAGAAAATATGACAGCAGGTCATTCTTGAACCCGCTGAACACATCCGAGACCGAGCGTGCTAGAGCAATTATATGAGATTGAGGCAGACAGCAACAAGCTGTTAGAGATGCTAGAGAGCACCTAGATAATACAAAATTGAAACTGCTATTGATTAGAAAACAGATCTTACTTTGAAATAAAATAGCAAGCTGGTGCGTAATGACAATAATAAGCTTTGCAGTGTCCTTACACATGAAAACTTGCTTGCTGCTGGCAAACCGCCCGGCCAATGCCACCTCTCGCTAAACTACCAAAAATAAAAAGAACCGCGGCCTGACAGTTTTCAGCCGCCTCTGTCGCCATCCCAGGATCCCCCCGGTTCACACCCACTTCTGGTCACTGTTGTCACCGCGGCGAGCCCCGCCCTGCCCTCCACCGGAGCCTCCCGGGGCCGCGCCTCCGACCGCCGCCGGCTGGATGAGCTCCTCGCCACCCGACTGGACGCCACTGTAGATCACGCCGGCGGCATTGGCCTGGCGCAGCTGCCAGTAGTAGGACAGCACCACCAGCCAGCTGTACCAGGAGGCCGCGCAGACGATCGTCACAGCCACAGACGAGACGCCGAGCGCCGCGGAGAGGAGCTCTGTGCGACTGATGTAGCGAAACACGATGGCCGATATGAACATGGCGAAGTTGCCGGTGGTGATGAGACCGAACAGGATGCCCCTGAAGATCAGCCAGGAGAGCAGGTGGGGTCGGCCCGACCGCGGCCGTGTCGCCGAGACGTGCACGCCGTACATGAGCAGAATGTCAAACGGTAGCTGGATGGCAACGAAGACAGTCAGCGGTGCCAGCGCCTCCACACCGGGTAAGTAGTCACGATAATAGGAAGTTCTGTACGAGTTGAAATTCGCCCTCTCCGCGTCCGCCCAGCCCCAGCCGGAGAGGACGGCTAGCGTCTCCAGCAGGATCAGTGTCAGGTAGACAATGGCCACGGCGAGCGCGCCGTGTCGCAGGCTGCAACAGCAGCAGCCTCGCAGCAGGAACGCCATCGCAGCTGGGAGACTCTTCGACGGAGGCGGCTGCACACTCCGGCGGGCGGCTGTGGTCCCTCGGCCGGCTGGGTGGTTGTCGGGCTGCGGTCAGTCCGCTTCAGCTGTTAGCGGGAGTTCTCTACTGTCCAGTAGCTGTTCGGAGTGGTGCGAGATCACCCCAGATCACCAGAGATATCTTCAGAGGTCCACCAGCGTGGCGCTCCTCCGGACCGCGTGCGACCGTTCCCGACACACTGTCCGCTGCGGGGTCGGACGGGCCGGCCCGGCCCGGCCTGGTTTGGATAGCTGCTGAGTGCTGAGCACAGCGTCTCCCCAAGGGGGGAAGGGTGCAGCTGCCCCGCGTGCCACGGGCGACTCCAGTGAGTGCCAACCGGAAGGCGAGCTGCTCCCTGCCCCATCATGGTAGATGCATACTATTAAGTCCCTTTCAAAGAACATTTAATGTCGAAACGGTAAGAAATAAGAAAGCAGCATTACTCGCTACAATAAATTCAGTCTGAAAAAGTTTGGTGACGAAAACTAACGCGTAGCAGCTACGCGTTAGCTAGCGAGCGTTTTGATGTTATATAGCCCATGCAATGGACGCCACAGCTCAAGGTCAAAGCCAGCATGGATCCAAAGTCCATGGCTGGCTGCTGCCTGGGGCGCGGCTGGGTGGGACGCGGTCGGGGGGGGGGGGACGCTATCACTGCGTCGGACGCCGGACGCCGCGCGCCGGTCTGTAGCTACAACACGGCTGGTGCAGGCCGCAGGGGGCCGTCTCAGGGGTGCACCCTCTCCGCGCGGCTCATGTTTGGGGTGGGTGGAAATTCTCCGAGAGCTGCGTGGACTTCGCCCTGGGATGTAGGAGCTGTGCTACTGCTCTGGTGGTTACGCCATCGGCTGACACATTCAGTTACTACATTAGAATCTGCTTAATAAATCCTCGGATAATGAATCTAGCCGCTTATTGTGGCCACTTGAGCTGTTCACCGATTTCTCCATAGACGCATAACTGACCCTGGTTTATAAAGCTACCGCTTAATAAATCCAATACGCCATGTCACGAAGGTGGATTTATTATGCGGATTCTACTGTATGTCAAATAGCTCATGGATGTCCAATATTGGCGTTAAAGGAAGGGTGCCACCTTTTGGACACAACGCAGTTTTTACAAGATTAGCCTCACATGAACCTAAAAACCGGCTTCACTTACCTATGCTCGAGACGGTCAGCATTGAATCCGCACGTGAAGTTATCATTTGCGAGTTTTGCTGCCAGCATTCGGGCAGGCAAAAATCTTCAGCACTATTTCCTCGTCGTGTTAAGGGTATTTTATAAAACATGAAATCAGCAAAGGTATGTATAAAAGTTATACTTTTGAAGCATGTTTTATCATTTTGAAAGGGTATATTTTTTCTTTATGGTATACACTTAAGTTTTAAAATTTTAATTGGGAAGTTTTTCTAGTAAGTTGCATGAAGGGTGAAGGGTTCCATAGATCTCTTAAGCATTGTAAAGGAAAAACCTTTACTCGACTTATTTGATGTTCTTTTGACGTATCTTACTTAGTTCAACTTACTTACTACAACTTAGTTCAAATCATGTTATCTTCTTCCTTTTTATTTGTTCATCTTTTTGTCTCAGTTGCGCCATCAATGCAAATGGCAGAATGATATGTTGCCATGACAACAGGATATGCCAGCCGTCCTAGCTGCCACATCAAACGACCTTGAGTTGTAGTGGTGATATAAACAACGATCTTTTTTTTTGGCCAATGTATTAAATGCAATGTTTCGGTTTTTTGTATATTGTGGACGCGCTAACCACGTCTAAAAATTCAAATAAGTAAAATAGATTCATAGAACAAAAATTTCGGAAGGTGGCACCCTTCCTTTAACCCGGCGGCCGCTGGGCCACCGCGCCACCGCCGGCCGCTGGGGGGGGGGGGGCATATAGTTGCCCCCCTTTACTTCTCCGACGATATCGTCGCAACGCAAAGAGATAGAAAAACGAAACTTTGCACACATCTTCCTGAATACCTAGCCGAGGTTGTGTCCAAATTTGGTGTCGATCCCATTTGAAATGACGTCACAGTGACGTCAGAAGTCAAATGATAGATTTGCGACTCTTAAGTTTCCTCACGAGTCACGATATATCCGATATATGAGACCGAATATAAAGGATTGATTATAATGGTCAGGAACTAGTTGGAAGTGTGCTTAGATGTTTTAGGATGACAGCAGGTGCTGTCTAGTTCATTTACAGTTGAGTTCCTTGCTCAGCGACATCAGAAACGGTCCATATCGGAAAACGACAAAAATTTATGACGTCACTGGTACGTCATCTTAAGTGCTACAACCACCAAACTTCCTCAAACATTACATAGGTATTCATTTGAAGCTATGCCAAGTTTCACGTTCGTAGCTCACCAGGTTTCGGAGATATTCCACAAAACGTAAAGGGGGGAATTTTATGCCCCCCCCCCCAGCGGCTCGTGGGTTAAAGGCTAAAGCATGTATCATGTATTGTCTCGTCATTATTCAGAGTAATCAAACCAAGGAGGCAGTCAGATCTACTTATATCCGCGCCCCACTGGGGCAGTGTCCCAAAATTATATTTTGGCTTGGGTGTCGGAGGGTATTCGGGAGAGTATAGGGAGAGTATTCGTCACTACCAAGAGGGCTGAGAGTAGAAAAATGCCAGGAAAGGCACAAAAAGAGCAGAAAACAATGCCAGCCAGAAAGGCACAAAAAAGAGCAGAAAACAGGAGTCAACAATTGATTTGCGAATGTTATAGGATGTCGGAGCTGCCTGGCGGGGCGGAGTAGACTGGCGGCGGCACGGCGACGTGAGTGCGCAACAGCTCATTATTGGTCACCTGAACATCCAGTCGTTGAAGCCCAAGATGCCCGAGCTCTGCAGCGACATCGACCGAACGTACGGCTTTGATGTCCTGGCCCTTGCTGAAACCTGGTTGACACCGAACGTACCTGACCGTCTTCTCCCGGTGAGCGGATATAAACTGTTTCGCTGCGACCGCCCGAGCCGTTCGCACTTGCCGAAGGGTAAGGGCGGTGTCGCTGTGCTGGTTCGAGACAGCTTTAAGTGTGAGCAGCTGAAGACGCCTTTCACCGGTGATGTTAACACGAACCTTGAGATTGTTTGGGTTTTGGTGCACGTCAGTAAACGTCAGTCGCTATTGGTTGCATCAGCCTACAGAGTGCCTTCAAACAACACACAGCAAGTGTCTGCCGATCTGGAGTCACTTGAGAACCAGATGCAGTTTATGCTTGCCAATTACCCTCGCTCCACCCTTGTTATTGCCGGAGATTTCAACTGTTGTTTACTTAAGGCCAGGGGTAGTGCCCGCGAACGCATGTTGCCCGACCTGTTTGACACTTACGGACTGACCATAGCTAACCGTGATCGTCCCACCTACCGACCTGCCGGTTCTCTTCTCGATGTTGTTGCCACGAACCGCCCGGACCTTGTGCGCAGAGCCGGCGTGACCCGGTGTCACTTCGGAGGTCCACACGACTTTACCCGCGTTATTCTGGAGCGGCAGGGTCCCCCCGGCAGTGTAAACCAGCAGAGAGTCGAGCGGCGCTGTTTCGGTCGTGTTGATGTTGCTGCCTTCAATCGC